AATTTTAAAAGGTAATAATAGTGTCCGTATCATAGGGTTATCTGAGGATTAATTGAGGTATTGCATGTAAAGCTAGCAAAGTGATAGTGCACCCAAGAACACAGTTGACACTCAGTAAAGGTCAGCTAGCAAGCATCTTTTTTTTTTTTATTGAAGTATAGTTGATGTACAACACTATGCTAGTTCCAGGTGCACAACATAGTGATTTGATATTACTGTACATTAGAAAATGATCACCACGCAAAGATAATAGTCTTCGTGTGTTTGTATGGTGTTTGGTTCTTGAATCCCATGGACAGTCAGGCCTGCCCTTCTTTTGGGTTGTAGCTCTATTCTCCAGAGCTCAGGTGAGTTACTACTTGAGTGGCAGCCCTCAGAGTCTGTATGACAGGAGGCTGGAGAGTGAGAAAGAGGGATAGACTCAGTCCTGTTACTTACCTTCCTTCCCCAGCTGCTGGGGGGCAGTCACACTGGATTACTTGTGCTGACAAAAATAGTAAGTAGGACTCTTGGAGCATTAGCTCCAAAAATCAGCCCCCTTCAGGAGTTTTGATGTTCTGTTTGGGGCACTAACTAAAAATTGCCTGAAAACCATCAAGTGCGGCAGCTCAGCTGAGTGTAGGGCTTGGCTTAGTTCACCCGGCTCAGGTTGTGCCTGAAACAGTTGGAGATCATGTTGGCTGTGCCAGTATGAAACCACTCCTATGGTTTCTTGGTCTGCAAAGCATCTTTAAGTCCATTATCTCGTTTGACCCTCCCATCAACCCTGTGATTGACATGCCAGATTTCACTGTTACTGTTTTTGTTTGGGGAGGTAGAGGTTTAGCAAGTTCTTTCTAGTGATTTAAAATCTTCCTCTTTAAACCTAGCTCAGGGTGCTTTCAGGCACCACACCACAGAGACCGAAAATAACAGTATCTACTTCTAGAGTGTGTCCTGTGCAGCAGGAGCTCTACACACACATCATCTTCTTGGAATCTCACAGTAACCCTGAAGGGCAGATAATGTCACCATCGTACAGATGGGAAAAGCTGATGTGCCGGAAGATTAAGTACTGGCTTAGGATGACATAACTTTTTATAGGACAGTGCTCAACTATAAGAAGACTCTCAGTCTATAGGTGATTAAACTATCACCTGTAAAATGGGGATAAATAATGTTTGTTCTGCTAACCTCTCATGGTTGTTGTGAAGGTCAGTAAGTATCAGTGAAGACACTCTGCAAGTGTTACAGGTGTTAGTGATCATTATTATTAAACATCATTGAAGCAGTCTGAAAGTAGAAGTGTTGCAGAAGAGAGTCATGTTTCTGTTGGGAGGAAGAATGTGGTGCTTATGTTCAATGAAGAAATCGGACAGGTTAATTGGCTGACCTTTAAGTTCCCACGGGACCTTACGTTGTAAGGGTCTTCAGACTCTGCAGTGTCTTGTTACTTTTCTGACTTGTTCTGTTTGCTGTTGTGTTTAGTCCTCTCTAATTATACTGGTCTCACACGTGGCAGACATACTCCCACCTCAGAGCCTTCCACTTGCTGCCTAGAATTGTTTTATCTAGATATCTTTGTGACTTTCCCTTATTTCCATTAGGCCTTTGTACAGATATCATCTTGCACTTTTTTTAAAATTTTTTTTGGGGGGGTAGGTAATTAAGTTTACTTATTTATTTATTTTTTGAGGGGAAGCACAGGGGATTGAACCCAGGGCCTCCTGCATGCTAGCATGCACTCTACTACTTGAGCTATACCCTCCCCTCCAGACAAATACCATCTTAAGGAGGCCTTTTCTGACTGCCCTATTTAAAATTGGACCCCCCGCCCCCAACACACACACATACAGGTGAGCATAAATACTTCTAATCTTCTTTTATGCTTATTTTCCTCCTAGCACTTATCACCATCTGGCAAACCATTTATTTATTCAGTTTATTGTCTGTTTCCCTCTTGTTAGGTGGTCCCTGGTACATAGTAAACTTTGAATGAATGATTTTTTTCTATAACACAGCTCACTCCTATTTTTAAAGTCTGATGACCTTTAAGTTGTATATTTTTGTCACACGCTGTTCCAAATAGGCTTGGTTCACAGTTGAAGATGGAGACAGACTTGCAAATTAAGAGAGGGTTTGGAGAGCCTGTGTCAGGGATCTTATTCCCAGATTCCAGGCATATTGATTCTGTGACCACAGACAGTTCTATTTAGGACCTTGCTTTTTCTTATTGGTAAATTGGGGGCAGTTGCATGTATAAAGTGCTTGATAACATCGTGATGTGCATGTTACTTGGCATCATGATGGGCTGAGGCTCTTGGAGTCTCCATCCAAGGGCTCATTAATAATAGAAGGAAAGCTGTCCTGATTTAATGCAGTGGAGCCAACGCTATGACTGGTTACTGCTGGATCGTCTCCATCCATTCATGCCCAAGCCATCCTAGTGCCAAACCCTTAACTTCACTAAAAAAAAAGTCATTCTTCTCCTTAATAGCTTCCCCTTAATTGTCATATTTAGTAAACGGTCTCTTGGAGACATCCTGGTCTGACTGTTGTAGTTGAATTCAAAGAGCTTCCTAATTCTGAAACTGATTCTGACCCTGTAATGCAGCTAACTTGTTTGTTTTTTGAGGGGAGGGGGGTATTGATCCTGCAGTTGTGGGGAACAGTGGACAGAATGAACATTGGCTTAGAATCTCCTGGGTTTTGTTCCCCAAAATTACTTTAGTCAGTAATTAGCTGTCCTTGGGCAAATTACTTAACCATTCTGAGTCTCAGTTTCCTCTTCTCTAAAATGAGATTAGTTCCTGTCCTTTCTGCTTTATAGAGTTATTATGGGATGAAAAAATGAGATGATGACAAATAGAATGAAGTACGATGTAGGCAAAAGACATTCCCGTTGCTGTTCTTGCAGTGACCTCGTGGGGGTGAGGTGAGAAGCACTGCGAGCCTGGACCTTAACGCCAGTGATACTTTCTTCTCCAGAAAACTTGCAGACAGAAAGGTGCTCTGCTCAAGTCTGACAAGCCTCCACTCAGAAAGGACTGATTGGGTGGCAGTCTTATTTCTGCATGAGTACATAAATCCAAATGTGCTGTTAATATGTTTGTCACTTTTTTTTTTAAACTCTGATAATGCCTTTCCCCTAACCTGCTGCTTTATTCTGTGGTCTTGCTATTTGCCATTCCTTTCACCTTCCATATCTCTCAGTTTCTTGGTAGGCAGGAGACAGGATTCTTTGTCTGAGAAAGAGTTTCTGTGATTTTTAACTGTGGTTGTAATAGCAACCAGTCCAGGTCAGTATTGTGTTCCAGGTACTCACTCAAAAGATTGTATGCCTTTCAGAGTTACCTGGAAACACTTTAGCTATATGGCTAGAGGAATGTTATTTTTTTCCATGTTGGTACTTAGAGGGATTATTGGTTATCACTAGTGCAACGGACTTCATCTGCGACTTCCTTCCTTCCCCATGGACTGGGCCCTGGGCTCTCTGCTGCTCCCGGGAGGGGCCTTGGGAGTACAGTTTAATGTCCAGGACATTTGTAGGGAAGTGATGGCTCACACCTGGTAACACACAAAGGCTAATTTGTAAATGTCTGCCTCGGGTCTGTCTTTCACTGTATCTAGTGAATGACTGTTGCTCCCACACCAGATTTTAGTGGTCTGTGCTTAGGCTTGGTAGCTGCGGTGGGTTCCTGGGTCAGCAGAAGCCCACCTTGGTGTGTTGGAAGGGTGACTGCTTAGTGTGTGAGGTGCCTTTTATAGCCCATTTACAGTGGGTTTGGTTTCAATCCTGTCACGTCGACCCTAGGGAGCCAAAATCTTTAGCTACTCACAGAAGATGATGGTCTTGCGCACCAGACACAGGTGACCTTCCTTTGAATTCTGACAGTTGTATTACGGCTGATCCAGACTCTCACCAGACCTTCCCTTTTGTGTGGCTTTTTGTGTGACTGCCTTTTGAATCTCTTTTAGAGCTCTGAGCTCTTCACCCTGACCTATGGGGCTTTAGTCACCCAGCTGTGCAAGGACTATGAAAATGATGAAGATGTGAATAAACAGCTGGACAAAATGTGAGTGAGCTTCCTTGTGGGAGAGCCAGGAATGGGGCCTCTAAGCGCACTGACTCTACACCGTCCCTTAGAGCCCAGAACAGGGTCCTCGTAACAACACTTTGGGTA